AGAGCAAAGTGGCAACTGTGGCTCCAGCCGACACCCCAGTGCCCCCGAGGTCATCTGAAGTGCTCCAGATGGAATCAGTGGGATTCCTCTTGGTCTTTCTGACAAATCTGCTTTTCCTTTAGCTTCTAAGTCTCTGTTCTTGATAATCATTGTTCTGAGACCAGGACTGATAAGAGGCAATAGCACTGAACCAGTCAGAATAGACTAGGTTGTGTGGCAGTAACAAATATCCCCCAAATCTCAGTGGCTTGAAACAGCAAAGACCTTCATATGCCACACATCCATCATGGGTTGAATGCTACTCTGCTACACGTCTCCACTCCGAGACCCAGGCTGACGAAGTAGCCTATAGCTGAATTATTACCAGTCACTGTGGCAACCACTCAGTGGATTATAAGTGTTGGGAAAGAGGAAATCACCTATTACAGCAGTGTCATTTCCTGCTTAAGCCACATTGAATTATTTGCTCTTCTTGGAAGGTGGCCAGATTTCTTTGATACCTTTGGGACTTTGCAAAAGAAGACCTTAGCAACAACCTACAGGATGTGGAACTAATTCTTCCAGAGGTATAGACATAAAACATAATACAAAAAAGCAGGTCCACCATTACATTCTCGTTGTGACCTCGAAGAGTGGTAAGTAGGTGAGAGTGGGGGAGTTCTATCAAAAGTGATGTGGAGAAAGCTAGTGAACAAAATTTGGCCCTATTTGATTTTGGTCTCTGATAGAGTATGACTGTCCAAAGGGGATTTTCACATACCCTCCTCTGTTAGGTATGGCTGTGATCAAACCCTTCCCATTTCCCCTACAATGAAAGAGGAATTTCTCTTCTGAATGGTTAGAATCTGAGTCACTGATGGGGCCACTATTACTAACGGCTGGAGCTGCTGTGCTTGGCATTCTTGAATTGGATGGTGCCAAGGTCAACATTTGAGAAGAATAGAGGGCCTTGCTAAGACCCTGATCCTGGTCTTCTTGCTTCAACTTGAGCTCTGCACAGAGCTCTGCACTGGGGCTTTGGTGTTGATATGGTCACTTGTTCACTGATTCCTATTTTGCTATTGTTTCATGAGCTTCTTTGAGAACCTGTTATGATGGGGATTGGGGACACCGTGAAGGGCTGTCAGCACAGCAGGATTTAGGTATTTCTCACCCTGCCCATAACATCATCTGCGAGCGTCCCAGTTTTACCCTTAATTGTTGAGAATTGGCTAAATGTGACATGTGAAGTTAAGTTTTATTAGGAAATGCCATTGAGTTAAATATAGAACATGTTCAAATAGCTTCCTAGAATCAGGACGAAACAAAATGGCGGCATTGGCGCCTGTGAAGGGTCTGTGTGTAATGTGTCACTCTTGCTGCAGAGAGGAAAGTAATAGAAAGTGTGTATTTGGGGCGTGGGGAATCAACACGGAGTGCAGAGACACTGAGAGGGAAATCCATTAATCATGTTTGTCCGTGCTTACCCAAGAAGAAAAAGCTATGCGTGCTTTGTGACAGTCAGTAATTAAACACGAGAGGCCTCATCATGATTTCCTGCTCCCGGTAGGAAGAGGAAATGGTGAGAGACACGGTGCATGGGCTGAATCATCAGAGTGATAGGCATTTGCTAAACGTGGTCAGAGCTGGGCACTGAGGTGGGAGTATTTACACTCCTTCCACATCCACTGAAAACCTGCCTAAAGGCCATTCTGTGCTGGGGGCCAACTGAGCACAGCCTACCCGGTTGGAGTTCGGAACCTGGAGTGGACAGGCGGGTTTGGGACAAGATACTGTAATATCTGCCAGTAAACAGGAAGGGATTCACACCATCCAGCTTTGGTGTATTATTACTCTAAATACACACCATTTTACTCACTGGCACAAGAAGCCTACACTATATTTCCATGGAGGTAAGGAAACCTTGCTGTCACCACCAGTCTCCAGCTTGTCCTTTTATGCCTAGATTGCAAATCACAATCTGAATGCAAATTCTTGCTTCGGAGCAAATTTGTCTAATTAGATTGCTTGCTCACCAGTATCCGGATGGGCTACATACCTTGGGAATGGGGATTTGAATGAGGGAGAAGGGAAAACTTTTGGAACTTGGAACTCAGGAGAGATGGCTCTGAGGGGGCGGTAGGAGCTGGGCACTCCATTGGGTGGGGGAGGGGGGTAGAGAAGGGCAGCTTCTGGGGATGCCCTGGAAAGTGGAGAGAAAAACACCCCAGGAAGTGCAGTGGGGTCAGATGGGAGACAGGAGAATGCCAAAAGCACAGCTTCACCCGCCCCACCCCAATTAGTGTTGGGTTTGCTCTTAGGTCATTCGTTCCAAAATTACTGATTACCTCTGGGGCGCCTGGGTGGCTTAGTCGGTTAAGCGTCCGACTTTCGCTTAGGTCATGATCTCGCGGTTCGTGGGTTCGAGCCCTGCGTCAGGCTCTGTGCTGACTGCCAGCTCAGAGCCTGGAGCCTATTTCAGAGTCTGTGTCTCCCTCTCTCTCTGACCCTCCCCTGCTCACGCTGTCTCTCATAGAAATAAATAAAAATATTAAAAAAAAAAACAAAAAACAAAAAACAAAATTACTGACTACCTCCTACAAACCCAGCAGAGTTGGGGCTGGAATATGGAGGGTGGGACATAGGCACAGCCACAAGACTTGGCCTCTCTTAGAGGCTTGAAGGCAAGGAGATGAGGCATGGGCAAAAGTAGCCTCATTGTACAATTAATGGCCATCAGAGCCAAGGGAAAGTAAGTGAAAATGCATGAGCAAGCTCATGGAAGAGGTTACGTCTGGTTTGGGTTAGTACAGTCAGGAGACCAGAAGGCATCATGGAAGGGGTAGAATTGACCCTGGAGAGGCATGTATTTTGATGTGCAGAGACGGGAGTTGATAGGCATCCCAGGTAGGGATGACAGGGTGGGCAAAAGCAGGGAGCCAGGTGGAAAACTTTCTGTATTTTTTTTTCTAATAAATGGATTGCACCTTTATAGTGTAAAATAATTTTACACGATATAGTAAATAGTAATCATCATAATTTAATTTACACTATCTAGTGTAATTTACACTATGCAGTAAATAGTAATCATCATTATAATATAAATTGTGATCAAGTTCGATTTTATTGTGAGTAAAGCAAACACATCACCAACTTGGTGTCCTTCCCTTCTTGTCTCTATGTCTCTAATTCAACTAGAGCCTTTGACTCTAAGAGGAACACGGCCCCTCCCACCCAACCCAGAATAAGAACAAAGTTGTAAGAAGGAATGTCCAAGAAATAGTTTATTCTGAACAAGAAACAACACCGACTTGAACACAGCCAGGAAATCTAACGTCTCTTGGGCTACCTCCAGCTCCTGCCCCCTAATTCATGAACTCAGCCCAGCAAGAAACCCTAAGTGCTGCCTGGGTCACAGTGAAGAGAGAAGCAGCCCGGTGATTTCCTGTAGGGAATAGGACAGTGCTGGCGGGGGACAGAGAATGACAAGTGTGCAAGATAAGTAGACTGATGGGGGCAACGTAATCGAGAAGTACGCTTGGTTCCAAGGAGGAAAATTATGAGCATTTCCTTTTTTAAAGTTAAAAATAGAAAACCACACCCTCCATTAAAACATCTCTTAAGATACCGAAGAGATGACGTGGACAGCCCCGAGGATGGATTGATGATGTAAAAAGTAAAAACCGGAAGTTGGAAGGAAAAATAAAAACACAGTGGAACGTTCACAGGGATGGACGGGGTTCCAAGACTCCAGGAAAAAAAGTTCAAGGAATCCAAGCCACCAAACATTTCTACGGAAAGTGACCTGCCAAATGAGCGACACGGGGGTTTCTGCGAACGATGATGGTGACGTGGACACGGCGTGCCTACCGTTCAGGGAGGGGGGCGTGCTGCGCACGTTACGCACAGAATGCTACCGAATCCCGTAACAGCCCTGCAAGGCTGGTCTCGTCATCTCCGCTGTGAAACAGGAAATGACACACAAGTGATTATGCAGTTTGCCTAAGGTCTTCCGGTTAGTAACCAGCAGGGCTGGGATCTGACCGCGCCGAAGTCCTGTCCCCGGCGCTGCGGCGTCTCCCCACCCAGAGGGCGAGAGCGCCCCCCGGACAGGTCCCACAGCTGCCTGTGCCTCGTGTGAGTCCACTGCCCTCCCAGACGGAACTTTCTGGTCGCCCATGCTTCTCATTCCTCAGTACAGAGCCACCTCATCAATGGCATTTGGGGACCCTCTTTTACAAATGCTGAGAGGCCACTTCACAGCCTTCACAGGAAAGACACCTAGAAGGGAGATGGGGACTCAGAATTTGGCCATGGGACTGGGTTTGGGGAGGGACTCTCAAAATGATGGTCAGCGACTTGACCTGCCATGCCAGTGTGGGGGGTGGGGCGGGGACCTGCTGGAATTACAGGTGGGAGGCAGTCTTCTGTGAATAAGGGCCGACATGCACCTGCAGCATCAACAGCATCCAGACCCAGGGGACCAGGCTGGTGTGTGGCCGCGCCACCTCAGAGGGTCCGAAAGACTGGCCTGCCAGGGAAGGCAAACGAAGACACTTCCGGTTTTGCTCCAGGATTTGGGAATGGTGTTCCCATGTTCACAAAGTTGGTGTGTGTGTGTTTGGGGTGGGAATCTAGTTGCTTTGTGAGATGGGAGTGCCCTTCAAATATCAAGGTTCTATTTTGCCCGTGTAAACAATTTCATAAATGTCACAGATGTTGCATGTCTCCTACCTATTTGGTTTCTCCCAATAACCTCGTAGAAGTGGGACAGAGAGCTGTTTTAACCCCTTTGGCAGATGCAGAAAACTGAGGCACAGGAAGGGCCAGGTTGTCCGAAGTCACGCGGAGAATCCGTCGGGCACCTGCGACCAGAACCCGGGCTGCCCAGCTCCAAGCCCAGGGCTCTCTGTGCATCGGGTGTTACCGCGGGCGAGACAGGGACCTTCGCGGCGCAGAGAGGGGCTTCCGGTGGGCGGGACCGGATGCGCGCAGTCCCTTCCGGCGGCCGCGGCGGCGGCTTAGCTGCTGCAGCCCCCGGAGCAGGCGCGGCCCGGGGCGTTGTTGTTGCGGCCGTCCTGCAGCTTGCCCTGCGCCTGGCTCCCAGCGCGGCCGTCCGTGTCCGGGAGCGCATTGCCCTGCCCCTGCTGCCTCCTCAGCCTGCAAACAAGCACAGCACACTCCTGAGTCGGGGGCACAGAACGCAGGGTGGCGGGAGGTCCTGGAGGCGCGTTGGGGCGAACAGGGCAACCGGGAAGCCCTCCGCCCGCGCCTTCCCCTGGCTTGGGCCACACGGCTGCTAGAGGCCCCGGGTGTGACCCCTGGAGCCAGGCGGGCCTGGGGTCCAAGCCTGGGTCAGGTGCACTCCGGTGAGATACTTAACACACAGAGCCTCGGGTTCCCTCTCTGTAAAACGGGGATAGTAATTCCTGCCTTAGGACTCCCTGCGAGGTCTACGGGAGATCACGGATGTGACTGGCTGGGCTCACACCCTCAGTGGGGTGATGAGCCCCGCACAGCATTCATTCACGCGTATGTGCTGAATGCCCACTGATGTACCAGCCACCGGGCCAGGGAGCAGGGGAGACCCTGGCCAGCAAAGTAGTCATCTTCTCTGTCCTCACGGAGTTTCCCATCTAAACGGAGCAATGGCCACGGATCAACTTATCCCCCAAATGCATATCCAAACAGACGAGCACTTGGCCTTCCAAAATGGCCCGTGACAAACTGTTAAGGGGGCGTGATTCTCAACATTGTGTGTCTGCACATGATTCTCACACTACATGTCTGGCTACCTGGTCGCCCTCCACAGGATCCTTCTCTTTGTGATTTGCAAGTTCAAGTTCATGCACTATCCCAGAGCTGTCACGCAGGCAAGAAATAAAATGGAGACCTTTAGGGAGGGAGGGAGAAGCCTGAGACCAGAAAGAACGCAGCTCTCCACACTTGCTACTCGGCCCCGTGGGTCAAGGTGCTGTCTTCTTCTGGGCCTCAGTTTCCCTCTCTAAACCTGGGATTGTACCATTCACTTGCCAGGAGGCTAAGGGACTCAGAGAGCATGTGTGTCAAATATCCACTATGGGACTGGAAATAATAATATTGCCACAATTCTCTTTTTAAATGTTTTATTTTTATTAACAAAATTTTTAATGTTTATTTATTTTTGAGTGTGAGAGAGACCTCTCATGAGCGTGGAGGTGCCGAAAGATAGGGAGACACAGAATCCAAAGCAGGCTCCAGGCTCTGAGCTGTCAGCACAGAGCCTGACTCAAGGCTGGTACTCATGAACCGTGAGATTGTCACCTGAGCCAAAGTCAGACACTCAACCGACTGAGCCACCTGGGTGCCCCATATTGCCACGATTCTCCTTGTTCTGAAGGATGCAGGTTTCAGCCTGAATGTACTTCTGAAATTGGTAGCTTCTGTCCAACAGAGTGCAGACCTATAAAAGATGTAAATGAAAGCCACCTCACTCAGCCAACATGCACATGACTACAACACAGTCCACGGCCTCGACAGGTCACGCTCGTGTGTGTGTGTGGGTGCACGCGTGTGCATGCATACATGTACACACGCTCAATGGGGTTTTCTAGTGTTTGCAACAATGTCAGGATTGGAGTGAGTTCTTCAGGTAATGCTGAGGTATCAGCAACAACACAACATTTTTAAGATGGAAAACTTGGTGGCCATTGCCTCCTACCCTTCGGCCACCTGTGGGGCTGAAGAGCGGGTGTGCTGTCTCTCTGCCCCTGTGGGTTGCAGCTGTCCAGCTGGCATTCCTGGGAAGGGTGGTTAGGGCCCGCATTCATCATCCTATTGAAGGAGGTGTCAGCAACCCAGAGGGTGGGGGGACAAAGTGGGTGGGGAAGGGGAGAGTCTAGTCTGAGGAGTGGGGGTGATCAGACTTCCTGGGCAGGGCTGGGAACTTCCCGGGAACCTTCCTCCCCTGTCCCTTCTCTTTCCTCCCCTCTATTTTAAGAGACTCTCTCAGGCACCTCTGGAAAGAAAATCAGATAAAGGGGCACCTGGGTGGCTTAGTCGGTTAAGCGTCCGACTTTCACTTAGGTCATGATCTCGCGGTTCGTGGGTTCGAGCCCCGCGTCGGGCTCTGTGCTGGCTGCCAGCTCAGAGCCTGGAGGCTGTTTGGGAGTCTGTGACTCCCTCTCTCTCTGACCCTCCCCTGCTCACGCTGTCTCTCTCTCTCCTAGAAATAAATTTAAAAAATTTTAAAAAAAAGAAAGAAAATCAGATAAAAACTAGGGGAAACTTGGAAACTCAAATGGCTAAGGAACTAAATGGGAGATGCCCACACTTCCAAAGCAGGACTATTTGGTTCACAATTGTAATGCCACGTAATTCTCTGGATGTATCACAAGACAAAGATGTATCTCATTAACAGTTTCTTTCAAATGTCCAAACACAGCATAGGGAGCATGGCTGTCTCTAGGCTCCAGTCCCTCTCTAATTATAACACAAAATATAACTTTGAAAGTTGCATAATAAAGAGTGGAGCAGATGAGGGAGAGATGGATTTGGAAATCTTGTGTGGGTCAGGGAAAGCTTCCTGCAGGGGGTGGCCTTTGAGTTGGGCTTTAAGGATTTGTATGGAATGGAGTTGTGGGAGGGAGAGGGGAATCTGAAATGCAGGGACACGAGTGAGGTAAGACACAGAAAGTAGAGCAAACAGAACATTGCCGTGTGGGCCAGCATCCTCTCTGGAGCTGATGGTTTAGGCACTTTGGCCCCTTCTTTTGCCCAGAGTTATTTCAAGAGTAGAAGCAGTAGTTACAAGTCTCCCCCCCCCCCCGGGGTGTCACACACAAAATACTGTGACAGTGAGCACCGGATCCAACAGCGTCAACTAAATGAAGTATGGGTCGTGCCCCTGGCAACCTACCGTCAGACTGACTGAGAATCAGGATGGCTGAATCAAGAAAGAAGGACCTTTCGCTAGGCATCCAGCTGTCCTAGAGCCTATGGAGCTGGGATTCTACTCCAGTTCTGGGTCTCCAAAGCCTGTATTCTTCCAACTATATCTGCACCCCTGCTCACCTACCAATATTCATCGTCCATTCTCCACCCACTCACCCATCCATTTTCTACCCACCAATCCATATATTCATCCATTTATTTACTCATCTGCCTATTCATCTACCCCATCCATCATCCATCCATCCATTCATCCATCCACTTCCATATGTCCATCCATCTGTCCCACCCCAGCCCCACCTATTCAACCCTCCTCACCTACCTGTCCACCCTCATCCACTTACCATTTACCACCCAGCTACCCACCTTCCATATACACACCCAACACCCATCCATCCACCACATCCATTGATTATCCCCTCATCCATCAATACATCCATCCATGGTCCCACCTACTCCTCATCCATCTAATTATCTATCTATTTGCCCCATATATTTGATGTCTTCACTATACACTGCTCTGTTGATCTCCTTATTTACCCCTATTTCCCCATCCACCCACACCCCCCATCACCTATTCATCTACCATCTATCCATCCATCTATCCATCCAACCACCACCCTCCTGCCTATCCATTCATCCATCTACTCCCATATTTCCATTCATTATTGCCACCCACCCATTTGCTCAATACCCTTCCACTTACTCACCCACCCACTAACCCATGCATCCCCCTAACCTTCCACTAGCACTGTCTGTGTCTCACAGCTGAAGGGGCTGTGAAGCAGGACAGAGAGAAAACAGTGAACATTCACTATGATGAGGTCTCTGTTGGAAAGAAGTGGCATGGCATAGCACTAGGGGCGTGGGCTTAGAGCCAGCCTCTTTCTGTCTCTGGGGCTGCCCCTTATGAGCTACGTGACTTTGGGAGGCTAGATTCCAAGGGCTATCATTCTCCAAGACCCATGCTCTTTCCACTGAGTCCTGTGCCATTCAATATGGACCTGGAGGGAAGAGAGCATGGAATGATTTTCCCACGCTCTGAAGGAGTTAGAAAGGCTCATGCTGCTCAAAGAGGAATCGGTGAACCAAGGCAGAGATATGAAACCATTACGGCTGTGGCTCTGAGAACTCACTTCTAGGACTAGCCCACAGCCCAGTTTTATCTGTAACTCGGGAAGAAATGAAAAAGGATTCTACATACCCTATTAGGCAGAGCTCGAGTCTGCTAATGCAAATTGGTTATCTCTGCAATGGCAGAAACATTTAATTTTCTCAGCCAACTTATCAAATTAACTGTTAGCTTTGTGGCCAGAATTCTGAGTGACAGACACAGGTTCCCTCAACATCCTGAACTTTATGACTAGATGCCAGAAGGAAGCACTCTGGGATAGTGAACCTCACCCAAGGAGAGGAGGACATATATTAAAATTCGTAATAAATCAGGCTGGAGGCATTTTTCAAAGGAAAAGCATCTCAGAAGAGTAAAATAAAATGGTTAGCAATCAAAGTAATTTTGGATCAAGCGATTTCACACAGGCAGGATGGAGTCAGCTTAATACCCAACATCCGCCCAGTATGGACTTCTGTAAGTGAGGCTTGGCCTCCAATGTGGAGCCAAGTCTTCGTTTTTGCCGTCAGCTTCGAAAAAGAAAAGCATTTTAAAGTGCTTTCACACCTATTGATTTCATTCCACTGGTTCTCCCTGTGCATGTTTTCTGGATTGTGTAGAAAGGTGGATGGAGGGGTAAAGTGGAGTATTGGGAGAGTGCAGGCTTAGGAGTCTCGGCAGAATTAGATCAGGGGCCCAGCTTCGCCATCACTGGCCAAGTGGCTGGGGACTTGCAACTTCTTCAAGCCTCTCTCTCTTCACCTGTAACACAGGGACGGGAGAAGATGAACCGGTGTGTGCCATCTGTCTGTCCTGTAGCAGGAACTTTATAAAGGGCAGCTATTTTTGTGACGATGATGATCACAGTGTGGAGATGCTCTCATTTTGCAAATGGGGAAACTGAGGATCAGGAAGTGAAAGTTAACTGCCTGCCATAGTTCTGATGACCGTCTTTCAGTACGGAGGTCCCCAGAGATGGTTCTGCAGGCCACGACCTGAGTGAGGAGGGGTCAGGGCAGAAGAGTTGGAGGGGTGGAGGGCACTGGGATGGGGTACACATGGAGTGGCTGAGGGTCAGGCCCCAGAAAGTGGGTGAAACAGGACAACCGGAGAGAATCCA